ACCAAACAATAGCCTCTAGACTACAAGAACCAAACAATAGCCTCTAGACTACAATGAACCAAACAATAGCCTATAGACTACAAGAACCAAACAATAGCCTCTAGACTACAATGAACCAAACAATAGCCTATAGACTACATTGAACCAAACAATAGCCTCTAGACTACATTGAACCAAACAATAGCCTCTAGACTACAATGAACCAAACAATAGCCTCTAGACTACAATGAACCAAACAATAGCCTCTAGACTACATTGAACCAAACAATAGCCTCTAGACTACAAGAATCAAACAATAGCCTCTAGACTACAAGAATCAAACAATAGCTCTCTTCTGACACGTGTGTATTAAATTTCATATTTATTATGTGTCTGTGTGTATGTAAGTAATAAGAATCTATATATATTTTTTCATTTTTTTTAAGTTGAGAATGATATCTTGTATCTGTCTTTGTATTACTGCTGTGAAATTATTATTATTATTATTATTATTATTATTATTATTATTATTTTTGTAGACGACAGACTACTGTACTGTATTGTACTGTACTGGCGTAAGGTATTAGATACAGTTGTGAATACAGTATGTGTGTATCCAGGGCAGGATAATGGTATACTGGTTATGTTCAGTCTGGTGGTGGTGGCGATTGTTAATTTAATTTTTAGATTTGCCACTTACAGCGGCTAGTTTATTGTGCACCCCATACTCATCCTGTGAGCGGTGGCGCAAAAGGATTACAGAGTATGGTTTACAAAGGGTCAGAATAATTATCCCCCGTTGTCAGGATATTATGGCACTGGATGTTACACGGTATTTCAAATAAATTCTTTTAGTTCTATACATAAAGGGTAACTTATTCACAACTGCGTGAGAACAGGAGTGTGAGGCAATATGTCTGGCCGCACACTTTGTTATTCACATTTGCGTGAGAAGTATTCAAGCACATTGTGTGTTTGGTTCTATACATGGGGAATGTTATAGCTACTGAGTGCAAAAAAGTGGATGTAATCTTAATATGTCGGCTATCTTGCCATTAGAGATGAAGTGTTGTGCCATTTTACACACAGTGTGCTTGGACCTGCCCCTAAGAGGTTCTATCTTCACACAGCCGAGGACGTACTTAGTGTTCAAGTGTGTGGCCATATGTTTGTCCACACACTTTACATTTTATTAGCCTTCTCCCCTGCGAATTCTAAGTCACTCTTGAATGTCATGCTTATGTGAATTACGAAACTTTAAGTCTATAAGCTTCACGCACCAACACATACTCTTTCAGCACAGCACAGCACAGCACAGCACAGCACACTTCTCCTCATAGTTACTACATTCATCTTCTGCCGTAGACAAATAGACTTCCTGAGCTTCTCCACCAAACGCAGACTAAAGCAGTACTGTCCACTGTTCCTTCTCAAAATATCTAAAATATTTATCAACAGCCTTTTCATGCAATGGAGGAACTAAATATTAAGAGCACCACCCAGGGCATCAGTGTCGATTGCAGGAAGTGGGTCTCTTCATTCTCTTTCATATTAATTTCTCTTATTTTTTAATTCTTTTGTTCTTAAACCTTTCTCCCATTGCAGGTGTATTAACAATGTCTTTTTTAATTTATTTTTTAATTTTAGTATTTTACATATTGTCTTAGTGATTTTTTTTATTATTTTCTTTCCCAAGCAACAGTTAATTTCGTGTATATGTTGATGGGAACGAACGAAGTGACGAAACGGGTTGAAAACAGTGGTGACGAAACGGGTTGGTGACTAAATGAGCATACCCCCTGAAATTTTTTTTGACCTACTTCAATGTCTAATACTACATAGCACCTACCTTTGTACCCATAGTGGATATAGGCTAATTACCCCCTAGTGTGCGGTGTGGACTCTGAGCTGTGTGTTCCTGTATGTGGAGGTAATCGTCATACCGGATTCCGAGTGGCAGCAACGTGTGTGCTTCTGGGTGGGCGAGGTGATCGAACCTTGGTTGTGGGTAAACTCATTCCAAGTGACGCTAAAATTTACTTTCTACTATTTTTTTTAAACGAGTAAATAAATACATATTTAACTGTTTATATAAATAAAAGTATACGGAAATTGGAAGGCATGGGATGTAAGCTTTTCTCTATATATAAAGAAATGAAAAATTCATTACATAATATTTGCCAGATAGTACAAAAAAAAAATATAATAATAATATATTGTCCTTGTTTTATACATATATATCGACTATTTTAGTAACACATCATCCTCGAACTATTTTTGGAATTTTATCCATAATAATTTAGTATCATCCACTTCTTAAAATTATGGCTATATAAGCCACTGAAGCGAAAAGAAGACACTACAATAACCATTGATAAGTTTGTCGGAGGGTAATTTGTGTTGAAGATGAACTCAAACAGAACTTCATTTTTTTCACTAATAACAACAGTAATTTCTCACAAACAGAAAAATAAAATGATGGGTAGATTTGCTACAGTTCATATTGGTTGGCATTCGTTATAATTAAGTCTTTGAATATAATCTGTATCGCTCCACTTTGATTAGTGGACATAAACGCTTGTATAACAGCACAAGCGCAGGATGTTCTCTGAGACCATGATACATACATACATACATACACACATACATACATGCACACATACATACATACTGTGCCCAAAGTTTCACCCTGCCCGGGGATCGAACTCATGTCCGCTTGCTTGCTCGGCGTGGATGCTGACAATTATACCAAACACAGTTAAAAGCACAGGCTGCATCAATCAGTTATATGTCGTTCTCTCTCTCTCTCTCTCTCTCTCTCTCTCTCTCTCTCCCTCTGCTGTTTCCTTTGAACCTTCCCCAGTTAAGATATAAAGCTAGTTACTTGAGTTATACACAACAAACTAGACTAAGGAAAACAATGTAAATATTGCTCTTGTCATAGTTATACCTCACCAAACAATGTCTATTTTCTCTGAGATTAACGAATGTCATTTTATGGTAAACGTTACTAAATATACCAAATAAATGAATACATACGTTGTGTAATAATAGCTTTGAATATTATTATACTTTTATGAGTAAAATATTTCAGAAATATTTAAAGCTTTCTGGATAAAAAGTGTAGCGGCCAAGGATTAGTTTTGTTCAGTCAGGGCGTACTTGGAGGGGTCACAATGTGCCAAAGTGTTGACTGATTCCGTCCTGGTGTGTGGTCCCCGAGTCTAGACCCGGGGACCACACACCAGGCGGGACGACCACAGGACAATGGGACCACACACCAGGCGGGACCACTACTAGACTCGGGGACCACACACCAGGACGGAATCAGTCAACACTTTGGCACATTGTGACCCCTCCAAGTACGCCCTGACTGAACAAAACTAATCCTTGGCCGCTAAACTTTTTATCCAGAAAGCTTTAAATATTTCTGAAATATTTTACTCATAAAAGTATAATAATATTCAAAGCTATTATTACACAACGTATGTATTCATTTATTTGGTATATTTAGTAACGTTTACCATAAAATGACATCCGTTAATCTCAGAGAAAATAGACATTGTTTGGTGAGGTATAACTATGACAAGAGCAATATTTACATTGTATTCCTTAGTCTAGTTTGTTGTGTATAACTCGAGTAACTAGCTTTATATCTTAACTGGGGAAGGTTCAAAGGAAACAGCAGAGGGAGAGAGAGAGAGAGAGTACGACATATAACTGATTTTTTTTTTTTTTTAACGGGGATTAGCCCACCTGGGCACAGGTCACTGACCCACATCAGGGCCTGGGGGGCGAAAATATAATAATAATAATAAATAAAAATAATAATAATATCTCTTATTTTTATTACAACAATTAATAGAATTAATAGCAAATTAAAAATAATAATAATAATAATAATAATAATAATAATAATAATAATACATACACAATCGAAAAAAATAATTCAAGAGAGAGAAACGGTATACATTATGTATGTTGTGTTGTCAATAGTAAGAGAAACAATTGGGACCCTGCAATTGTGTGTAAATGAGGCAGAAAGTCAGGTCAGCAACCTGGGACTTGGTCACAATTTTCGTGATGCCATATGGCAGCAGGGTCTACCATTAGACAACACATTATGCTTCCAATATCTTCCCAGGCGGTAGTACCTACCTGTTTGGTAGCTGCCTAATACCTACTACCTATGCTTTTAACTGTGTTTAGTATAATGGTCAGCATCCTCGCCGAGCAATCGAGGGGACACGAGTTCGATCCCCGGGCAGGGTGAAACTATGGGCAAGTTTCTTTACGCCATTTGCCTCTGTCTACCCAGCAGTAATTGGGAAACTGGATGTTAATCGATTTGCGGATCATGTTCCGGGGTAATGGTTAGCCAGTGCAGTTGGCGAGTTGTCCGGTCTTCTCGGACTATTCCTAGACACGGGTCATGCAGCTCGTTAACTCAGGGTGTGGTTGTTTTGTTGGCGACAGCTTCTACACCTTAAACAAATTCACACCTAGGTGGCCCTTGGGCCGGCCATCCTCGTTACTCGAGGGGCAGCCATTATACATGCATACAGTACATACATACAACATGAACTGACTATAATTACCCTGAAGGATAAATAAACAATTTATTCCGAAAACAAAGGGCAAGATACAGTAACATTTAATTAGTTATATTATTATAACATTCATGAGTCTCGCTACTCCACAGTGCAACTTTTTCATTTTAATATACTTTGGTACTTTGATCAGTTAACAGCTATAGTATTGGGCAATGTAGTTCGTATTTCATTTTCTAAAACACTCTTAGGGGTGAGTTGAGGGTAATACTATACAATATGTACTGATGTAACCTGGAAAATACTTCGGAAGAAATTATGATTGCTGGGCTCTGGGAAGGCAAACATGAAGGGACTCTGTAAACACAAACATCAAGGGACTCTGTAAACACAAACATCAAGGGACTCTGTAAACACAAACATCAAGGGACTCTGTAAACACAAACATCAACAGACTCCGAAAACACAAACATCAAGGGACTCTGTAAACACAAACATCAAGGGACTTTGTAAACATAAACAACAAGGGACTTTGTAAACACATGGAAGGGAAAAGGGATAGGCAGAGAGGATAGGGAGGTGAAGTTTTTCCATCCCATGACTAGAACGGTGGTAGTGATGGGACAGCAGGGATCCTCTGTGTAATAGTGAATGGAAAGAGAAGGTTTGTAACTCTTAAGGGGAAACTACCACGACTAAACTATGTGCTTGACGGTGTGTGTGTAGACGAAAATTTAATATAAAAAAACAAAACTACATTAAATCACATAAATAAGTATTGGAACAACACTTCAGTCTAAAGTTTGTGTGATATCTTTTTGTCTTTTAAAAAAAATATTGTGATGAACGTTTTTTTTAGTTCATTTTCTTAATTATAATTGATGAAGGGGCCTGGTTTCTACACCAAAGATAACACTTAGGTATTTTTTATATGCTAAGAGGTTGGTATATATACTAGGTAATTAAAGTGAAGGATGAAAAAGGTGAATGATGATGAGAGTTCGACAAGTGGGAACTTACACAATGTATGAATGTTATGAATGAAGAGGAAGGACAGGTGAAGCGATGTATGAAATCTCATTAGCACACCTGGCTATGTTAATACTATCCTACTACACTACTACATTAGCAGGTCTGGCTTCTGCTGTAGGTATTGTTGTCTCAGGTAGGTGACCACAGCAGTATGCCCTCGTCTCTGGCATAGTCCTCAGCCGTCAGACCATTCTCATCTTCAAGTTCCAGATCAACCCCGTGTTTCAAGAGCCAGTTCACGGCTTCTAGGTTGCCGTGGTCTGCCGCTAAGTGGAGTGCCGTCTTGTGGTGCTCAGTCAGGGAGAATTTGCTCTGCCTGTCATATCTGTCAAGTTCTCTCATGGCTGGGACGTGACCACCTACAGCTGCCCAGTGAAACGCCCGCCGACCTGACCAATGATAATGATGTATTTAGTGATTGATGATATATTATTGGTTGATAGATTGATACGTTACTCATTGATATATTAGATTTGTGTGTAAATAAATGATATATTCGAAAGTATAACTAGGCACAAGTATGGTATAATGCTTCTGCAACTTATAAACAAAACCAAAAGAATTCATAAGATCACCACAAACCCACGTATGCATAGTAGTTACCTGTCATATATAATGTATATTCAGGTGTGTTTACAAATCATTAGCATTGTCATTATATTAAAGGTGACATTCCAAGCTCAGAGAATGGTGTCGTATGTATGACTGTTGTATAAGGTAAGTGTAGTGAAGATAAAATTTGTTTCACGTAGAGTAACAGATAAGGGGGAGGAGGAAGAGGTGGAGATGAAAGAAAACAGGTGAGGAAGAGGAGGAAAGAAAGAAGAAATTAAAGGAGGTGAAGGAAATAATGAAGGAAGCAAGGAATGAAAAGAAAAGGGAAGAGGAAAGGACGGAAGGAAGGAAGGAAAGAAAGAAAGGAGGGAGAGAAGGGAGGAGGAAAGGAAGGAGGAGACAGAGGACGTCGAGGAGGAGTAGGAAAAGAAAGAGAAGACGAGGAAGAGGAGATGATGAAGGAAAGGAAAAAAGAAGAAGTAGAAGAAGAGGAGGAGGAAGACTAGTAGGAGAAGAAGAAACAATGGAAAGGAAGGAAGGAAGGAAGGAAGGAAGGATGAGGTTACCTTGTGCCAATATTTCCTGGTCAGCATTCTGTTTCAAGAGGACAGTGATGACTTCCTCGTGTCCTCCCCAGGCCGCCAGATGGAGTGCCGTAAACCCTTCGTCAGCGGGAAGATACGAGAGACCTCAATCATCTAACACATCATTAAATTTCATGTTTAATATTATTCACAAGTTCTTATACAATGAAGGAGAAATTATATAACAGAAGAATATGTGAAAAATAAGTGTTTAAATTAAGTTCGTTGTTAAAATAATTATAACCTTACGTAAAATAAATGGGAAAAGAAATTACACACACACACACACAGGTGACCGTGTACTCTTACCCTGATGGTCTAAGCTGTTGACTCGAGCTCCTGCCTTCAGTAGATTCTTCACCTTCTGTTTGTTACCGTCCTCGGCCGCCAGGTGGAGTGAGTTCCTACCTGTACAGATACACATACATAGAGACACTGGTTTATCCATGTATACATCTGACTCTGCTGTATACTCACACACGTGTATATATTGCGTTAAAAGTATCCTATATACGTATATGTATATATAGGTATGTTGACAAATCTCTTATGTTCATGGATAATCGTAAATGTATATCCAACTGTATACATGGTAAAGCTCATTCTACACACATGTTTAATGGTGTAAGTACCGTATATTTAAACACCATCTAGGAGAGCTTCACCATCTGGGAGAGCCTCACCATCTGGGAGAGCCTCACCATCTGGGAGAGCCTCACCATCTGGGAGAGCTTCACCATCTGGGAGAGCCTCACCATCTGGGAGAGCCTCACCATCTGGGAGAGCCTCACCATCTGGGAGAGCCTCACCATCTGGGAGAGACTCACCATCTGGGAGAGACTAACCATCTGGGAGAGACTAACCATCTGGGAGAGCCTTGTGTCCCGTAGTGGTGAGTTTAATCTTCATCCTCACCAGCTGTGACATTCCTACCAGCTGGCCACTGACGGAGGACACCAGACGCGCTCCTTTCCTAATGCCCAGGTGACCTCTCTCCCCGGACTGGTAGCAATGATGTTAGTAGTGGTGGTAGAAGTGGTGGTAGTAGTGGTAGGTAGTGGTGGTGTTAGTAGCAGGTAGTGTTAGTAATGGTGTCAGCAGTATTTCATTATTATTATTATTATTATTATTATTATTATTATTATTATTATTATTATTATTATTATTATTATTATTATTATACCTGAGGGACTGTGTCAGTAGGGGAGGTTGGCTTGGGTAGCACAGACGGTGGTGGCACAGACGTGGTTGGCACAGGCTTGGGTAACGTAGGCAGTGGTGGCACAGGCGTGGTTAAAAAACGCCTGAATGGTAGAGGCGGTGGTGGCACAGGCGGTGGTGGCACAGGCTTGGGTAACGTAGGCAGTGGTGGCACAGGCGTGGTTAAAAAACGCCTGAATGGTAGAGGCGGTGGTGGCACAGGCTTGGATAGCACAGGCGGGGTGGCACAGGCGTGGTTAGCACAGGCTTGGATAGCACAGGCGGTGGTGGCACAGGCGTGGTTAGCACAGGCTTGGATAGCACAGGCGGTGGTGGCACAGGCGGGGTGGCGCAAGCGTGGTTAGCACAGGCTTGGATAGCACAGGCAGGGGTGGCACAGGCGGGGGTGACACAGGCTTGGATAGCACAGGCGGGGGTGGCACAGTGGTTGGCACAGGCTTGGATAGCACAGGCGGTGGTGGCACAGGCGGTGGTGGCATAGGCGTGGTTAGCACAGGCTTGGATAGCACAGGCGGTGGTGGCACAGGCGGGGGTGGCGCAAGCGTGGTTAGCACAGGCTTGGATAGCACAGGCGGGGGTGGCACAGTGGTTGGCACAGGCTTGGATGCACAGGCAGGGGGTGGCGCAGGCGTGGTTAGCACAGGCTTGGATAGCACAGGCGGTGGTGGCACAGGCGGTGGTGGCACAGGCTTGGTTAGCACAGGCTTGGATAGCACAGGCGGTGGTGGCACAGGCGGGGTGGCACAGGCGTGGTTAGAACAGGCTTGGATAGCACAGGCGGTGGTGGCACAAGCGGGGGTGGCGCAAGCGTGGTTAGCACAGGCTTGGATAGCACAGGCGGTGGTGGCACAGGCGGGGGTGGCACAGTGGTTGGCACAGGCTTGGATAACACAGTCGGTGTCCGCAAAGGCGGGGATGGAAAAGGTGAGATTGTAAAACGTTTGTGCGGCACAGGCGTGTTAGGGACTGACTGCCAGTCCTTCCTGCTGGGGGTGTGAGGTGGAGCACTGCTGTCGGGGAGCTGTAAATCGTCCAGGAACACCGCTGACTGACGCTTGTCCATCAGATACTGGTTCCAGACCTTGAGAGCGGCCACTCTCTTTGCCGCAGCGTCCAAGACCGACTCTGTCTTCAGGAGAAATAATATGAGACCGTAGTCCTGCTTGAGGGAACAGCTGGAGAGAGAGTGAGGTCAAGTGAGAAGGAATGAAACAATGACTTTCTATCTAGACCAGTTAAGGTAAAGGTAAAGGTAAGGTGTGTGTGTGTGTGTGTGTGTGTGTGTGTGTAATTTCTCTATTTCCTTTATCATTTTACATTATGTTCGTCACTCCCTTATTTACACTATTAACACAGCAGAGTTTGACCGAGACACAACAGGTAACAGACTCACCTCCTTAATAAAATCATACACAGGTGACTCACACCTGGCAGTACTGTCGGTGAGAGCCGCATGTTGGGGAGGAACACCGTAGGTCATGAGGTCTTCGTTGATAGGCAGGTTGTGCAGGACCACGTGCTGAAAGGGAGTGGTGCAGGTGGGACAGCGGGGGCTGGGAGACGCCTGGATGTGGGTGAGACACTGCCTGCAGAAGGTGTGGCCGCAGGGGAGCAGCAGCGGTTCATTAAGGCCGGGGGAGAACTCCTCTGTGCACACCTTGCATGACGTCATGTCATCCACTTGTAGCCGTGTGTTGTATCACTAACCTGATGACAGTCCTCACCTTAGATGGATGTATGTATGTATGTATGTATTTATGTATGTATGTATGTATGTATGTATGTATGTATGTAGCTGACAGGAAAAGGTAAAATTAGTTTAAGATTGTATAATAATCTAAATTGTATTGGGTTGTACTGAAACCGTATAATAAATAGGGATATGGTGATGTTTATATGGAGAATTATCCCTGACAGGAGAGGCTAGTGTACATTAAGCTACTCCTCAGACAGAAACTGGGGAAATATGAGTAACCAAAACAATTGTTTGTTGATTACGAACCTAAATTAAATTCATGAGTTACAATAAATAATAACAAGCTACATAATCACTTCTGAATAACTAATAATTAACTCATTAAATATTGCATATTTGTTATTAATAAATCAATATGAAAATCATCATTATAGTTAAATGATTAACTGAATAACTGGCATCTTCGACTGACGTCAGTGGAAAATGGCAGGACTAATGAGGGTTAAGGAATGAGAGGAAGGCTAAAATAAAGGCCGTATTTGGCGTTTGGGTACTCGACCATTTTAGTAATGTGTTCACGGTACAGATGGCAGCACCATCGCTTATCTTATATGGCATATCCCTGAGGAAACTTTTAATGTTAAATAAATTGATTATATTTTGTTTTTAGTGAACAGGAACTTAAGATATGTTATCCATGAAAAAAATGTTTGTAGTGTAAAATAATTGAATGCATAAATATTTCGATATATGATCCCCTTCAACATTCACGCCCGTATTATTAAACAACATCTTCCCTTGAAGAGAGTCGTCGTGTTTCAACCCGAGTTTTAAACTAAACGAGTCCTGAGGGACACCGTAGTACTGTACTTAACGGGGCGGTGTGGCGGTAAAATTAACTCTAATTTTTACAAAGCACTGAAGGTAAAAATCATTTGATATCCATAAAAACACCCACCCAAATGTCCATGTTGAAGAAGGTGTGGCAGAAAACCTCACTCGTTTAGCAACATATGATCTCGTAATCTTCAAGACAGTCACTCAAACGGTAACGAAACGGAAAAGGTGCAAGGTCGTCGTGCAAGCTTTAGGGGAATGTGCAACTCAAAACTTGGTTTTGAAACTAGAAAAAATAAATTTAGCGTAATAATTGATGAAAGTACCGACTGTTCAGTAAGTAAATCATGTGCAGTGATAGTGAAATATTTTGATCCGGAGATGTAAAGACATAAAAATTGCTGAGGTGGATTTGACTGACGTATTCAAACACTCGCTTGACTGTTGACACTACCAAACACTCGCTTGACTGTTGATGCTACCAAACACTCGCTTGACTGTTGACGCTACCAAACACTCGCTTGACTGTTGACGCTACCAAACACTCGCTTGACTGTTGACGCTACCAAACACTCGCTTGGCTGTTGACGCTACCAAACACTCGCTTGGCTGTTGACACTACCAAACACTCGCTTGGCTGTTGACACTACCAAACACTCGCTTGACTGTTGATGCTACCAAACACTCGCTTGACTGTTGATGCTACCAAACACTCGCTTGACTGTTGATGCTACCAAACACTCGCTTGACTGTTGATGCTACCAAACACTCGCTTGACTGTTGATGCTACCAAACACTCGCTTGACTGTTGATGCTACCAAACACTCGCTTGACTGTTGATGCTACCAAACACTCGCTTGACTGTTGATGCTACCAAACACTCGCTTGACTGTTGATGCTACCAAACACTCGTTTGACTGTTGATGCTACCAAACACTCGCTTGACTGTTGATGCTACCAAACACTCGCTTGACTGTTGACGCTACCAAACACTCGCTTGACTGTTGATGCTACCAAACACTCGCTTGACTGCTGATGCTACCAAACACTCCTTGAATGCTGACTCGCTTGACTGTTGGCCCAAACACTCGCTTGACTGTTGATGCTGCAAACACTCGCTTGACTGTTGAACAACCTCGCTTGACTGTTGACGCTACCAAACACTCAGCGACTGTTTATGCTACCAAACACTCGCTTGACTGTTGATGCTACCAAACACTCGCTTGACTGCTGATGCTACCAAACACTCGCTTGACTGTTGACGCTACCAAACACTCGCTTGACTGTTGATGCTACCAAACACTCGCTTGACTGTTGACGCTACCAAACACTCGCTTGACTGTTGATGCTACCAAACACTCGCTTGACTGTTGATACTACCAAACACTCGCTTGACTGTTCGTACCACAAAACACTGCACCACTTCATTCCCTTCACTACAACCACAAGCACATCATTTATTTCACTACACTGTCAACTACACTTCACCACTTCATTATATCATCCACTATTCACTACACTTCAATAACCAAAACAACAAGTATTCTCACGTCTTCTGTGTACTGTATGTTGGTGCTATCGTCCACACGTCAACACACCTTGAGGAGAGAGCAGGCAGTCTACCTGATAAAGAAGGTCTTGTGTTTTGCCATTGCTATTATCTTATCTTCCTTATCCCGAATTTAATTGGATTTTTTTAAGTCTACGTAATATATCAAAACAAGTAATAGGATCACATGAATATTAGACACCCTAGTTTATTTCACCTGATAATTAGACATTAACTTATTTCACCTAATCTTTACGTCAAATGAGCTAGGGTGCCTCATGTCCAGGTGAAATAAACTAGGGTGTCTAATCTTCAGGTGAAATAAACTACTGCTGACTCCACTAGCCCAATTGTCTTACTGTTTACCATTGGATCAGTTTATTTCTACAATTTACATACACTCTGCTTAGCTAAACTGATAGGCACCCTACATTATGGAACCTTATGTTTAATAGACGATGCTAAGTTATTCAGTGAAGAACCAAGCAGACTGTGAAGAGCTACAGAATGATAGATCTCTGTTAACTTTAGGAGTAGTCAGAGGGATGGCTTTTATGGTTCAGTGAAACGAAACGGAAAACGATACACCAAAGAGCATCTCCAGGGACGGTTCACGGTATAGGGGGTTCCATAATCCAGTCCTTTTATGTCCCTCATCTTAGTTCTTTGTTGTCACATCATCCATGCCTCAGTCACACCATCCATGTCTCAGTCACATCATCCATGCCTCAGTCACACCATCCATGTCTCAGTCACACCATCCATGTCTCAGTCACATCATCCATGTCTCAGTCACATCATCCATGCCTCAGTCACATCATCCATGCCTCAGTCACATCATCCATGCCTCAGTCACATCATCATGCCTCCAGTCACATCATCCATGTCTCAGTCATACCATCCATGCCTCAGTCACACCATCCATGCCTCCCACATCATCCATGTCTCAGTCATACCATCCATGCCTCGATCACTCATCCATGCCTCAGTCACATCATCCATGCCTCAGTCACAACATCCATGTCTCAGTCATACCATCCATGCCTCAGTCCCACCATCCATGCCTCAGTCACATCATCCATGCCTCAGTCACACCATCCCATGTCTCATCACATCATCCATGTCTCAGTCACATCATCATGTCCATCACATCACCAGCCTCCACACCATCCGTACTCAGTCACATCATCCATGTCTCAGTCACATCATCCATGTCTCAGTCACACCATCCATGCCTCAGTCACATCATCCATGTCTCAGTCACATCATCCATGCCTCAGTCACATCATCCATGTCTCAGTCACATCATCCATGCCTCAGTCACATCATCCATGCCTCAGACACATCACCCATACCTCATCTAAGGCATGAGTGGTGTAAATGGGGCATGGGTGATGTCACTGAGTACCAAAAGAAGTCAGTGGTGTTTGGAGAGAAAGTTCACTGATTTAAGAACGCCTATCAAGAGAAACCCCCCCCCGAAGAACTTTATTTATACTTTACTAATATCCACAACTAAACCATTGAAAAAACAAACATAAATCAAATATACAATAAAAACTTTATAAACCCTAACGATTTAAGAAACTAGTAGTGTATTGTATAATTAAAATAAATCTTATGAAATGTGGAAATAATGTGAGAGTCGGTACAGCTAATGTAACCTCTTTATTCTCTGTCCTCACGAGGTGTGTAGTTCCTCCCTCACGTCATTATTTAGGTATACATCAATCACCTCCGTTATTGTCCACTTAAAACAACTTTAATGAGGTATATCACAACTTGGAAGGAATATACACAGGTTTATCACAGCTTAGAAGGAATATACACAGGTTTATAACAGCTTAGAAGGAATATACACAGGTTTATAACAGCTTGGAAGGAATATACACAGGTTTATCACAGCTTGGAAGGAATATACACAGGTTTATCACAGCTTGGAAGGAATATACACAGGTTTATCACAGCTTGGAAGGAATATACACAGGTTTATCACAGCTTGGAAGGAATATACACAGGTTTATCACAGCTTGGAAGGAATATACACAGGTTTATCACAGCTTGGAAGGAATATACACAGGTTTATCACAGCTTGGAAGGAATATATACAAACATATTTTTCTTTTTAACTCTTTAATGAAAATTATTTACATTAATAGCTGTCAGTAAATCAACAATAATCATGATCTTAACAATAATTATTTAGGGGTAATTTATCCAGTTTTAATAATTATACAATTTTTTATAAGAATTATTATTATTATTTTTTTTTACATTTCATCTTCATATATTACGTAACTCGGGTGCTAGTTTATTGGGCACCCTTTGTGTAATTTTAGGCGTAAAGTATTATAACATTCAACAGGGAGGAAGCATTATTAAAGAGCCTGACGAGGTTTATAAAGCGTCAATCACTAGTGCAAGACCTCCTGGCTGACACAAGACTTGCTGACTGAAAGATGACACACCTGACAGTGTTGCTTTGGACATTCAATCAAGGTCATTTCATATTCGCTGGCAGCTTCACCTCATCTCTGGGCTCAATAAAATAAGTTAAAGATGATAGGAGCTCATTTATTTCGTCTCTGGGCTTAATAAAGTAAGTTAAAGATGATAGGAGCTCATTTACTTCGTCTCTGGGCTCAATAAAGTAAGTTAAAGATGATAGGAGCTCATTTATTACGTCTCTGGGCTCAATAAAGTAACGTATAGATGATAGGAGCTCATTTTTAAGTAAGTATCTTGATTACAGTATGTGCAAAAAGTAATACTATTGTAGTTCACTTTTGACATTGTAAGCTGAGAGAGAGAGAGAGAGAGAGAGAGAGAGAGAGTGTTCTTTTAAGCGTCTGTGCTCTAATACAACAATTATACGAGCCCCAAATGACGGTGTAGCCTTACAAGACGTGAGCACCAGTAAGACTCTCAGAGGCTAAATTAAGCTCCCACATTCTCGTAAAACAAAATGTGAGCATCTTCGTGGGATGGGAAGGTCTTTCTCAGATTGGTAACTCTCTCGTCGTCAAATTTGAACCAGGTGTTCTTGTTGGCCCAATCCCGGCAGGTGGCAGTGTAGTGACCACTCGACATTGTGCCTTGATGGTAGCAGACACCGTACAAACTGTAGGCTGTCTCCCTGTGTACAGAATAATGAGAGGTGTTAGTTTTGGTGATGGTGTGGTGGGGTATAGTGGTATAGCGGTGTAGTAATATAGTGGTATTATGGAGTTGTGGTGTAATGGGTTGGTTGTGATCAATGATATATCTTCTCAACCTAAACTGCCATACCGAAAGGATACAGACCTAAAATATTTATGTAAACACAGCTCTTCGTTACATTGAAATTAAAAACAAATTAAATATGAAAATAAATCACCTGAATCTATTTATAATATTGATATAATATTAAAAAGTTAAATATGTAAATAAATCAAGTTACCTGGATCCTTCTTTCATATAAGACGTCATGAGAGGGATGTCAGGCGGGAAAGTGACCCTCAGTTTGACGCCATCTCTGGAGTCGCGGTTAAATCTGTAACATAAATCACCCCAGTACAAGTGTGTTATGATCAATGTTGTTATTAATCTGACCAAACTAGACACGAGTTCTTTATTGATTTATTTTGGTGAATACATACATACATACATACATACATACATACATACATACAAGAGTTCCTCACCTGCTCAGATGCAACACTAAGATCTGAGGCAGCTGAAGGATCTGAGTGGTACTGTAACATTCGTGGGTCGTCTGGCAGTCAGGACACTCCCATTGGATGGTGTGAGGCTTGTAGTACTTCGCTAGGAGATCCTGCAGGAGGGAGGGGATAGGATGTCTTTATACTCTGCTGAGGAATGTAACGTCAAAACGAAGCTTGACTTTTTATTAATTTTTATAAGATTTTTTAGTTTTTGAGTCTGTACAGGTGAGGTTAATTAGTGTGTAAAGGTGACGTTAGTGTGTACAGGTGAGGTTAATTAGTGTGTACAGGTGAAGTTAATTAGTGTGTACAGGTGAAGTTAATTAGTGTGTAAAGGTGAAGTTAGTGTGTACAGGTGAGGTTAGTGTGTACAGGTGAGGTTAATTAATGTGTACAGGTGAGATTAATTCGTGTGTACATGTAAGGTTAATTAGTGTGTACAGGTGAAGTTAGTCTGTACAGGTGAAATTAGTCTGTACAGGTGAGGCTAGTGTGTACAGGTGAGGTTAATTAATGTGCATAGGTGAAGTTAATTAGTGTGCAAATTTGAAGCTAATTAGTCTGTCCAGGTAAAGTCAATTAGTCTGTACAGGTGACACAATAATCGTGTCAATTGGACTAAAAATCACTAATAATAACTTAAGATGACCCCATTGACCCAACTTGACCTCTTTACCTCCAGTTTACAGGTGTCCCAGTGACCTCTCTTCGGTTCGACTGCCAGGGTGAGGTTAGAGAACTGTTCCTCTACCTGAGAGATGATCTTATTCTTCTCCTTACAGGTGATCACTAATTGGTGGAGGCCCATGAAGAGCTCAGAGATGTGTGACTGACCTGGCCTCTGTGGGGGGGATATATATGGCTGTGTTAATGGTGATAATGGTGGTGATAATGGTGATAATGGTGGTGATAATGGTGGTGATAATGAACATAAGAACATAAGAATGGAGGAAACTGCAGCGGGCCTATTGGACCATACTGGGCAGTCCCATTTACACCCAACCCCTATTGCTCATATAAGCATCCAACCTATGTTTGAAGCTATTCAGTGTAATCGAGTTAATGATGATATTTGGTAACTTGTTCCATTCATCCACTACTCTGTTTCCAAACCAGTGTTTACCTATTTCCCGCCTAAATCTAAATTTGACTAATTTAAAACCATTGTTACGAGTTCGCTCCTGGTTGAATAGTTTGAGTACCTTTGTAATGTCCCCTTTGTTTAGCCCTGACTTCCATTTATACGCCTCTATCATATCGCCCCCTTGCTCTACGTCTCTCGAGGGAGTGCAAATTAAGACGCTTTAACCTGTCTCTGTACTCAAGGTTCCTAATGCCCGGGATTAGTCTTGTGTTACGAAGCCCGCCCTCAATTGTCATGATCTACCTACCCAGCACCACGAGCAACGCCATCTAGGGACGAAACACGAGTATGACTCGTCTTAGTTACCACTCCGGGGTTTCCCTTCTCCATATCCTGGTTGTTGCGTCACCTCCTCCAAGTCTTCTTTGTCAGCTCGAGTTCGAGGAGAGAGGACTTCACTCTGGGAAGTGACCACAGGATCACCTATCCTGGAAACCTACGGCACAGTGACTACCTACCGTCTTCTACAATACTCAGCCTTACTCGTCAGCCATCTCAGCTCCGCACTTAAGTATTTGTAATCTTGTATTGCCTCCCCCACGTCCACTTGCTTCAAATTATTGTATGTTGTATCAATATGTATATACTGTTAATGTTTAGGTTAAGTATGGTTAAGGGTAAATTATAGATAGCTGAATATTTTGTTAAGGAATTTATGGTAATTTATTATACACAACAAAAGCTCTCATCCTTTGTCTACCCTTTTATAGTCCGATTGTCTTTGTTTTTTTTTATTGTTGTTACCTGTTGGGATCTGGGTAGACTTTTAACTACAGTATATTCTAAATCCCCAACTCGTAACACTTGTCATTCTCCTCTGAATTCTTTCCAAGGATTCTATATCCATTCTGTAATACGGTGACCAGAATTAAACTGAGTAATCCAAGTGAGGTCTCACAAGCGCAAGATATAGTCTTAAGATGACCTCGCTAGTCTTGTAACTAACACTCCTTTGTATGAACCCAAGTACTTTATTAGCCGTGTTTCGAGCAAAAACACATTGTTTACTTGGCTTAAGGTTCCTACTTATCATTACTCCTAAATCTCTCTCGCAGTCGGATTTCTCAATAACATCATTGTTCATCTGGTATCTGGTTTCCCTGTTTACATCTCCTATACTGAGTACTTTACATTTGTCCACGTTGAATTTCATCTGCCATTTTTCAGACCATTCGAAAATGGTGATAATAGTAGTAATAATGATGATAATGGTGATAATAATGATGTCTTTAATATTTCTATTACCATTACGACTACTACTACTAACACTACTACTACTACTACTACACACACATACACACACATTACACGAGAGGACCTACCTGAAGCAGATCCTTGTCCAGTGCATAGAGGAGCATCGAGAGGAAGTCATGTGCCTCCTGTTGATCACATCCCTTGAACATTGTGTCATAGTCCCCCACAATACTCTGTGTCAGGTGGGAAACGCAATATATTACCAGGTTAGGTTAGGTTAGGTATGATTTGAGCTTGGTTGGGTTTGTTTTGGTTGGGTTAATTTAGGGTTAGGTTAAGTTAAGTTTGGTTTCACTTGTTTAGACCTACATTAAGTGGCACAACTGTATTCTTATAGTGGATATCTGTATGTTTTAGACACCTGTACGCCTATGGTAGATGGTGTTATGGTAAATAGCTACAATATGACCAGTCGCGTACCTTGAAGGCCCTCATGGCAGTGTGTGTGTCACCCCGGGCCTGCAACACTGAGATGACTACACCAAAGGCCTCTGCTACCTGCCCACCATACTCACTACTCCTGTTGATGTTCTTCCTGGGGAATGAGAGTTATACAAGGAGAATTATTATAGTAGTGGTCACCTGAAGATTAGAGTCCTCCCACGCCCCCTTCCTCATCTTATTTCACTTGATGATTGAACACCCTAATGCTACCTGGGGATGGGTAAGGTAAGGTTAGGATACTTTGTTAGGTTAGGTTAAGTCTGTGCTTGGGAGTCTCACAGTACGGAGACCTGTTGAGGATGGAGGTCTCTTAACACACTCGCTTATGAGACCCTAACCCCACCCTACCCCACCCCTAGAGCGATGATCCCACCTCCAGGAGTCGTCGAGGAAGTAGGTGGTGAGGCAGGAGGTGTTGTAGAGACACTGGATGATGGAACTCATGTAGCAGGTGTTCCCAAGGCTTGCTAGTCCCTTTGGCTTCTGCTGCTCCTGCTGGGAACGACGTGGCGACCTATCTCTCTCCTGTTGTTGTTGCGACGTGTGGTGAGTTATGGCTGGTTTGTTCTGTGTGAAAATTTATGGGAATCACACAAAGTCAACAATACCTTTTTCTTGTAGGGGTAAAGCTTAGAGATGAGTTTGTGGCTGAAATGGGATTGATTAATGATTTTTACCAGTTGTGTGTGTGAGTGTGTGTGTGTATTAACACTATCTTAACACCTCAAAATTCCCACCTTTTTCCTGTTGTCATGCCAGTATTGGTGAATCAAGCTCTCTGCCTCAATATTCCCAACATTCTTTGCAACATCCACTGCCAAACACCCGTCTTTGTTCTTCAGGCGAAGTGTCACACCTTGGTCCAGCAGCCATTTGAGGGCTCCCAAGCTTTTAATCATACCTCTGGCAGCGCAGTGAAGAGGCGTGTTTTGGAAGTTGTTGGTTGGGGATAAATCACAGTTGTTGTCACGCAGCACCTTCAGGATGTGGACGTGGCCTCCCTCAGCAGCCCAATGTACTGCTGTGTTTCCTGTGGCGAGGTAAATATTGATGAACACCTGAGATTTACCTTTACGTCTTACCTTTACCTGCCCTCAGCCTTAACCAAATTTGACTTCTCCATTCATTACTCTTAGATAAGCCCACGGTGTTACCCCAGACATGACAACACTGGATACTTACCAAAGTTGTCCTCCGCCTCGGGGTCACCGCCTCTGGACAGCAGGAAACGAACGATTTCCAAGTGACCGTTCCTGGCTGCATAGTGAAGTGCTGTCCGACCTGTGCAAGATACAAGGCTAACGAGTGTAACATTGCAACATACAGAACGATATTGCAACATAAGATAATATTACAACACACATGAGACAGTATTATTGCAACATAATATAGTAATAAAGAGGAGAATACACTTAGAATAATGTAAACACACACACACACAGTTACTCACCAAACTTGTCACTATGCCTTCGACAGTCTAGGTAGACCCCGTCGTTGACCAGGTTCTCTGTGACCTTAAGTAGACCTTCAGTTGCTGCGTCTAGGAACTGAATAATAATAATAATAATAATAATAATAAAATAATACATGGTACTAACACCCTAGATAACTTTTATCAATTACATCACCAACATGAAATAAACGCAACTGACCACACGTCTCCCTCCATCTTACCTTGTCTTGCTGAAGAACTACCTGACGAAGGAACGCAACCACTTCCTTATGACCCTCCTGCAGGGCGTAATCATCTGGTGTGAAGTCTTTTCGGTCTTTCTGATCTAAACTAAGACCCATTCGGACCAGCCACTTGACAGCTTCGAGGTTTCCATTGTCCGCAGCCAAGTGAAGCGCTGATTCATTATCGCAGGTAAGAGATTTGATGTTCACTTTCTCCTTCTTCAGGTAGTCGAGAATATTCACGTGGCCTCCGATAGCTGCCCAGTGTACTAGCTGTTTACCTGTGAGAATTAGTTTACCTCTATTAGTTTACCTGTGAGTTATTAGTTTACCTGTGATTATACATAGTTCTTTAATGACGTAGAGAGAGAGAGAGAGAGAGAGAGATCTTACCTTTAGCTACAGCACTTTTTTCAGGTAACCACGTCATCAGGAGCTTCACTACAGGCAGGTGTCCGGCTTGCGTGGCCAGGTGCACAGCTTGTAATCCTGTGTGACGTCAGAGTTAAACCACCGAAGATGTTAATAATAATGGTAAAATAATGTAACCTTGTGATGTTTGCTAATGTTAGGATGTTCAAGAATGTTAAAATGTTTGGTAATGCGATTGGTAAAATGTTTAATAATATGAGTAGGAAGATGTTCAGCGATATGACAGTTTCGTAAAAATGTTACATCATAAAACGTTAAATGTTATGATGGAATGTATTTTATCATAGAAAAATGTTGAATGTAAAGTCAAATGTTTCATAAGAAGATAAAAGGGTTAATAATAAGACGACTTGAAAATATAAATGTGAAGTAATTGTTATTTTTGGCCATTACTTAATGAGGTATGTTGATAGTGTGTGTGTGTGTGGCCTCACCGTTGTCATCCGTGGCGCTCGGCTCTGCTCCAGCCTGTAACAGCACCTTCACTAGGGTTGTATGGCCGCCGTCAGCTGCCTGGTGGAGGGCTCGGCTACCTGAAAGTCAACCAACATAGCCACTAGCGATATTGACCCCAACATAACCTAACCTAACCTAAATTTACCTTAATCTAACCTTGATTTATCCTAACCTATCATAATTATCTAACCTTACCAACCTAACGTACCCAAATCTGAGACAACGTAACGTAACCTGACCTGACCTGGCCTGACCTAACCGAAGACTATAAGGAGAAAGAACTAAGGTAAGCGATCATTACATATTTTACTATAAGAATATAAATCTGGGATCACCTGAGGATTAGACACCCCAGCTTATTTCACCTGAAGATTAACCTCCCTATCGCTACCTGGGGGTTAGGTTAGGTTAGTGTAGGTTAAGTCGCAATAATATTAGGGTGGTTAATGTTCAGGTGTTATATATAGTCTTGCGTTTACCTTTGATCGGCTTCTTGTGGCTGGTGGCATTGACGCTCACTCCTGTAGTTAACAAGTGATTCACCATATTTGTTTCACCTAGCGCCGCAGCTTCCATCAGTTGTTCCTGCATAATACAATAGGGGTATGTCAACAGTACTTGGCCAACAGTGTTATGGTAGGTTAAATTAGGTTACGTGACTTTAGGTTAGGTTAGGTTTAGTTGGGTAGGATTTACACAGTCACAGTCACTACACAGTCACTTGCCTCACACTGGACAGTCTGCAGGTACTGGCAAGCTACTGACTGTCCACCCTCCCTCGCCAGGACCAGTGCTGTGACGCCCTTGTTGTTCTTGGCATCGATGTCGGCACCGTGCTCAACCAGCCACTGAACCGCCTCTAAGTTACCGTTGTCGGCCGCCAGGTGGAGAGCCGTAGACTTGTCGGCTGAGGTCACGTTCAGGTCACAGCCTAGGTCACTCAGCGCCTTCAACACATCCACGTGACCTCCATAGGCTGCCCAGTGTACCGCCTGACGCCCTGTACCGGGATAATGTACCTTGATGACGTACCATTGATGTATTACTGTACCGCCTGACGCCCTGTACCATAATGATGCACCAATACACAAGGTAGGAAATGATGAATGTTGCACAATGTATATTTTAACAGAGAGAAGAAACAAAGGGTGAATACAAGACAACTCTCTCTCTCTCTCTCTCTCTCTCTCTCTCTCTCTCTCTCTCTCTCTCTCACCTCCGGCCAGAGCTTGTGGGTTGGCCCCCAGGTTGATCAGCTTCACGGCAGCGTCTTTGTGTCCTCCCCAACACGCCAGGTGTAGCGGCGTCAGACCTGTCAACACCTGTTATGTTGATCATTGTAATATATTCTGTAACTACCACGACCCTTACTACCACGACCCTTACTACCCCGATAGTACCACGACTCTTACTACCACGACCCTTACCCTACCACGACCCTTACTACCACGACCTGCTGCTACGACCCTTACTACCACGACCCTTATAGTACTACGACTCTTGCTACGACCCACGACCCTTACCACGACCCTTACCCCGACCCCTACTACCGACCCTACTACCACGACCCATACTACCCGACGACCGACCCTACCACGACCCTTACCACCACGACCCTACCACGACCCTTACCACGACCCTACCACGACCCTTACTACCCGACCCTTACCTACTACCGACCCCCCGATTACCACGACCCTTACTACCACGACCCTTACTACCACGACCCTTTTACTGAACGACCCCCTTACTACCACGACCCTACTACCACGACCCTTACTACTACACGCCACGACCCTTACTTACCACGACCCTTACTACCACGACCCTTACTACCACCACCCTTACTACCACGACCTCACCTACCACGACCCTTACCATACCCGGCCACTTTACTACGACCCTTACTACCCTTAATTGACCACCACCCTTATTACCACGACCCTTACTACTACTGACCCCATTACACGACTCCTTACTATCAAGGACCCTTACTACACGACCCCTTACTTACCGCGACCGCCTACGACTTACTTACCACGACCCTACCGATTACCACGACCCTTACGCCACGACTCTACTACCGCGACTTAGTCTTACTACACGACCCTACTACCACGACCTCATTACCACGACTCTTTTACGACCTTAGTACCCACGACACCCTTACACCACCCATATTACTACGACCCTTACTACCCGACCCTTACTACCACGACCCTCATTACCACGACCTACCAATTACTACCCGACCCTACTACCACGATACTGACCCTTACTACCACGATCCTTACTACTACCCTTTACTACCCGACCCCATACCACGACCCAGCCTTACTCTACTACCACGACCCTTACTACCACGATCTACCACCGCGACTCTTACTACGACTCTTACTTACTCTTACTACCACGACCTTACTACCACGACTCTTACGCCACGACCTTACTACCGCGTACTACACGACCCTTACTACCACGACCCTTACTATTACTACGACCCTTACTACTGCGACCCACTTACCACGACCCATTACCACGACCCTTACCTACGACCTCATTACGACCCTTACTTACCACGACCCTCATTAATACCACGCCACTACGACCTTACCTTACGACCTTGCTACCGACTCCTACTACCACGACCTTACTACCACGACAAGGACTTGCATTACTACTAACACGACCCTCTACTATGATCTCCATCGACCTCTTCATGACCTCTTACTACCACGACCCTTACTACTACACGACCCTTACATTAACACGACCCTACTACCACGACTCCTTACTACTATCGACCCTTAATACTACGACCCTGGCCACTACTTATCTCTACTACACGACTTCTACATGATTCTTAATACCGCGACTTTACTACTACACAACTTTACTAATGACTCATTCTACCGCGAACCCATTACCTTCCATTACCTTCACTCTCAAGCAGGATATGTATACAAAGACTCCATTTACTCACAAACAACATCGCTCAGAACACAGTCGAGTTAATGATTATTTTAAACCCTTCCAAAGTTAAGCGATATTACACAGGTAGAGGATAGGAGAAGCCCGATAACATACTGATAGTCATGACCCGGATAGCTATTTCGGAAGTACCAAAGAGACGAAGTTTGTTATAGGCAGTAAGAATGTTGATAAAGATAGCGTATCTAGTTTGAGGAGCACTATGATAGCTTAAACCTCCTGAGCTCTACATGATAGCTTAAACCTCCTGAGCTCTACATGATAGCCTAAACCTCCTGAGCTCTACATGATAGCTTAAACCTCCTGAGCTCTACATGATAGCTTAAACCTCCTGAGCTCTACAGGATAGCTTAAACCTTCTGAACTCTGTATAAGATTGAGGATAACATGATACGATAGCATTGAGTTCCTATGCTTGGATTCTTAAGAGATTCTTACTGTTAACTTTTCCTCCTAACTGAAGTCGTAAGAAATGTAATTGAGTGTTATGTTAAGGTTAAACACACGCCAAATATAATCACCGAAAAATATTAAGGAGGCATTTGAATAATGGACTAAAAGCATAGCAAATAATTCATAAAAAACATATCAAAATTAACTTGACTCTACACTAAATAGATACGTTCACTTAACATCGGTTTAGAGTACACTATGGAAATAAGTATAGAACTGAAATCGTAGTATTGAAAAATAATAACACTACTACTATTACTATTACTACTACTAAGTAAATGTTACAATGTTAGTACAGTGGTTGAACATGAACAAATTATGAAACATTGGACTTCGCTGTCATAAACGCTAAACACAAGACTTACCTTCCTCCCCCGGCTGTGTACTGCACACTTCAATGTTACCTCCTCCTTTTACACAGTGTTCTATCTCACGCTCTTTGCCCTCAGCTGCTGCCATTAACAGCTGCAATATAAACTATGATATAAAAACTCAGACTGAAAGGTATAGATAGAAGATAATTAATAACAGACAGGTAGAGACTTAAAGGGATTCTCTTCTCTACCTGGGCTGACAGATTCAATCGGGTGTGTTGTGCTGTACTCGGGAATGACTGAGGTCGTTGGGGTGCCTCCCTACTAGGTGTCAGGGCCACTGCACCACCAGGAGACCGTGGACTTGTGTTTCTGGGTAAATTCTGTCTTTTCGTGACATGACAGCTCGAGGAAGATTGTATCTCGGTTTGTATCTGTGTAAAGAGAAATGTGGAATGGTGGACGAATATTTTTTGATAGGGAGTTCTTGTGTTGAATTTAAGTTGAAGAACAGATGTATATTTTGAGTATTAAGAACATATGTTTTATTTTACCTTATGATTGAGAATTTGTATGTAAACTAAATGACTTGAAAGTGAATATGAAAAGTACTTATAGTTCGTGTATACTGTAGGTAATGCGTGTCTCTCTAGCAGGTGTGTCGTAATATTTTGTACGATAAATATTCCTCTTAAGTGAAGATGTGAGAATGTACCTGACTGCTTAACTTAAGATATAAGGCAAAAATAACATTAAAAATAATATCGCCAAACTATTGAGACATTTCCCTTAACTGATATATTTACTTTGTTTCAGTTAAGAGCCAAAATTACACTGAACTTAACTAGATAAATTCACTTAGGATCAGTTAGTAAATAAAATGAAAGTTCAGAATGTATGGTAATTTAGACCTGGGCCTTTTCATGATAAACCATTCAACACAGGTATAGGATATCTCACCTGGGCTGACGTTGCTTTGCGCTGCTGCAGAAGGTCCATGACGTCCTTGAATCCTTTCCTCCAGGCACATTGTTCGGCCGTCTCCTGATGGTGGTTCTTGGTGGTAGTGGAGACGCCGTGGTCCAGCAGCCATTTCACCACAAGCAGTTTATTGTTCTCGGTGGCCAGGTGGAGCGGCGTGGACCCGTCTTTGGTCTGCGGGTCGAGACTACACCCCCACCTAAACAACGTCTGTACTGCTGGTAAGTGGCCCTCGGAAGCGGCGATGTGGATTGCCCGACGCCCTGTAATGTTCGTCTCGTTTATGTGGTTATAGGTTAAAAGGGACCCAGTCCTAATGGACCCCAGTCCTATTAGACCCTGCTCTTAATAGGCTCCAGTTGTCAAGTGTCCCATAAAGAAAGGCTTAGAACCTGTTTTAATAAGTAAGAATAGCTTATAAAATACGAGGATTAGTGTGAAACCTCCCTCGACTAATTTAGCCCTTGTGTATGTATGTGCCTATGTATACAGTCGCGGACAAAAGTTCGCTCCCGTGCTGAAACTGAATCGCGGGAATGAGTCTCCGAATTTACTGTTGCTTTGTATCTCGTTTGGGGTCGTTGCTGCTTCATTTTGGGAAGGAGCGAACTTTTGACAACTGGAGGGTTAATTTTACTCCAACTTTACACACTAATGTGGCATCACCTAAGAGAAAAAAAAATCGAGAACAAATTCGAAAAAAATGAAATTTACAGGACAGACGCATAAAATTTCGTCTAAGGAATTCTCTCTAAGGCAGATGTGTTTATAGGGTAAACTGTAATCAAGTTTAAGTGTTCTACCTTCCTTGTCCTCGGCTTCCTTGTTAGGGTTGAAGGCGTATAATTTCTTCAGGACTTCTGCATGACCATTTATAGCGGCGTGGTGTAGGGGCGTCATCCCTGGGTAATGTTATACAGGTTAGTTTATTATATATTATATACAGGTACTAACACACACACTGGAGGGCTGATAACTGTAAGGATATTATTATTAGTTTTTATATTGTGATGGTGAGAGTTATAATGATGCCATGACATTAGTTGATGGTGACTGAAGTGCCACTAATGATGATGATGATGATGACTGAAGTGCCACAACAACAGAAGAGTGCCTTACCTAGGTTGTCCTCATCATTAACTCTGGCACCATGTCGCAGTAGTTCCACCACCACGTCCACATAACCAGCTCCCGCGGCCAGGTGCAGCGCCCGTCCTCCTGTGTGGTGACCAATGACCTTTTAGTGTCTCGTCTGTGTAAGGTGTGGATTTGTCTTTCAGTTTAGTCAGTGTTTCCTTTAGGTTAAACAACTTCTACTGAGTGCAAAATTGGTAAGACTAGGAAGGAAGACAGATATATCAGGTAAGTCTTGAGTCTAGTATGATAATTTAGGTAGAAATAAGGCGTTAAACTTAGTCATATAGGAGCCTCGTTTATTGCAGTCACCCCATTGTTTATCATAGAAAACAACTTAGTCTCATGGCCAAAAAAATTTCCCCTACAAGTTTGCCAAATCTGACAAAAAAAATTACGCACCCAGAGATTAAACAGGACTTTCAACTACAGAAAAATCCTTCAGTCAGTCAGTAAAGAAAGGAAGAAATTGATTCAGTTAATTAGAAGAGGTAAATACAATAGTTTACCCACCATGGTCATCTTTTTTGTTGCTCTTTGCATGAATGTCATCTCCATTTTCCAGTGTCGTCTTTACGGCTCTTATCAAACCTCTGGCAGCATTGTCGATTAGTGGCTGGCGGGCGTTTCTCTGGGAGGGCCTGTTGGGGTCTACTCCCTGTGTGTTCTAGGGAGTAGTATTAGGTCAGGTGGTTACTCTCTCTCTCTCTCTCTCTCTCACTCTCTCAATAATTGTTTACACACACAATTGTTAATAAATTTCTCAAATAAAAAATGGAGGCTTTCGTCCGCCTACAACCTATCGTACTAATTCTATTTTTCACCTAACAGTTTTCTCAGATACTTAGCTTATCTTAGGGAAGGTTTACGAGTCTCTAATGAAGTTCTATGAAGACTCCAACCAGCTGTTCGTTGAAGGGTTATGGTAGTTAAACGGAACGTATAAATTAAAACTCTATCTTGAATCTTGTCAGAGGTGTTCTTCCTCTAGGTGTGTATATACAGCTCTCACTGTTTCCCGCACCACTGGTTTAATGTATACTCGCTTAGCTCATTGTTATTTCTTATTAAATATTAGAATACAATGGTAATCGATTATTAGTTTATTTACGATACTTAAAGTAGATGACGAGAATAGTCAGCTCGTCACTGTGAAGCCTTCTGATGGCCACTCACGTTCATTATATATATAAAAATAATGAACCCCTGACAATATTGGATTACACGAATTATTGTAAGAAAGCCGTGATCTACCCCTGACAACAACCACTGCCCGAATATCCATAGGTGCTTTTGGGTACCGGGTGGCCAAGTTGCTACGAGGTTTTATATAGAATTTACGATTAGGAGGTGGAATTCTACAAATAATTCTCACACACACACTCTCTCTCTCTCTCTCTCTCTCTCTTTGCATAAACTGTATATTTTTCTCTGTAGCTGTATGGTCGGTACTGCTGTGTGGGTCAGAAGCATGGACACTTTAAGAAGAAGAAGAAAGGAGGAAGAAGAAGAAAGGAGGAAGAAGAAAGGAGGAAGAAGAAGAAAGGAGGAAAAAGAAGAAAGGAGGAAGAAGAAGAAGAAGAAAAAGAAGATACACACACACACACACACACACACACACTTCACATTATATCACTAATAACAACCGAAAATCTCCCTCATTCTTCCACACAAAGAAAAACACAAAAGTTACGAACCATCGAAGAACTTGACAAATTTTCTTGTTTCTTCAAATTCCTAAAGAGTTTCTGGTGATTTCTCCTTTGAGCTCTGTCTGCTGGTGTCTGTCCCACCTTATCCAGATAGGTGAGAGACAGGCCCTTAGTTAGCAGGAAGTTACAGGTGTCTAGGTGACCGTTCTCAGCGGCTAGGTGAAGCAAGGTGCCCTGGTCTTCGTCTAAGATGGTCAGGTCGATACCGTATGTGGATAGTAGATTGAGGAGCTGTGTTTTGCCTGCCTTAGCTGCGTACTGAGCGAGTCCGTTTTCTGGTGGTGGTTAGGTTAGGTTTATGTGAGATGGAGAAGGAAGAGAAAGTTGGTTTAAAGAAGGTGGGAAGAGAAAATGGAATAGGTGATGGTGAAAAGAGAAGGACGATGATAATTAATTAGATAGAAAGAAAAGATAACGAATATATAGTTATCACACACACACATACACAGTGATAAATTATATATCTAATTAATCCATTACATTATTGTCTATCTATCTATCTGTCTATCTATCTATCTATCTACCTGTCTGTCTGTCTATCTATCTCTATCTATCTGTCTGTCTGTCTCTTAGGGTTTGGGATTCGGTGGTTCAAGAGTTCAGGGATTTAGAAGTTCAAGGGTTCAGGGATTTAGAAGTTCAAGGGTTCAGGGATTCGATACTGGGTTTACTGTGATCGTCTAAGGGTTAACAAAAAAAGGAGTTCAGTGGTTCAGTGGTTCAGGAGTTCAGGAGTTCAGTGGTTCAGGAGTTCAGTGGTTCAGTGGTTCGCTTACTGCGGTCGTCTAAGGTGTTGACGTCAGCCCCTGCTTCCAGAAGTAGCTTTATTATGTCCAGGTGACCAGCTTTTGACGCCAGAAACAACGCCGTCGCTCCTAGTGTGAGAGTAAGAGTCAGAATCAGTTCGAATCAGAATCAATATCAATTAAGATTAGTCATTACGAGTAAATATATATCAGTATCAGAATCGATATCATCCAGAATCACCCAGAAACGGTAATGGTCTTAATGTCTCAATAAGAATCAGTATCAGAATCAGTTATAGTCAGAATCCATCATTTGAAAGTGAGTCATTATTTCTGATTGGCTATTAAGTTGGCAGTATAGTCAGGCACTGCACTCGATCGCTTTCTCCCCACCATCTGTAAAGTTAGGTACAGGTAGGTGGACTGGGGTGCCGTGAATGGATTACCTAGATATTAGATGCCTAACTTGTTTCACCTGATGTTTACATACTTCTTAATGCTACCTGGGGAGGTTATAGGTAAGGTTTGGTTAGGGTTGTTAATAGTAAGTTGAAGTTTGCTAAATATCAGGAAATTCACGCGAACTTTTGACGACTCTAAGACAGAAGGTGGGCGTTGTCTCCTCCTCCTCCTCTTCCTCCTCCTCCTCCTTCTCCTCCTCCTCTTCTTCCTCCTCCTCCTCCTCCTCCTCCTCCTCCTCCTCCTCCTCCTCTCACCTTCGTTAAAGCTGCTTCTCACTTCTAAGTTGGCATTATGGTGTAACAGTAACTTAACCAACGGGATATTATTGGCCTCTGTCGCGTAGTGGAGTGGACATTTACTAGCTAACGGCCCGCCATTCACATCTGCTCCCTTCGTCAGCGCCTTCTGCACCTCGTTTATCTTGTTCTTGTAGATGGAAGCGACCTGGATAAAGTAAAACACGAGCGTGAGATTGGTGGTGCTGTAAGCTTATCCTTCCCCCCAATACACACACACACACACACACACACACACACACACACACACACAGGCTGTAAATGTATTGAACGTATATCATTATCTCTAAATCACATGTAAGTTTGTATATTATTATTAGACACAAACACACACACACATACACGCACACACAGATCTATACTATACATGCTTGTTAACTCCAAACTATTGTTAACTATGTGAGCTACTCGTTATCCTGTGTGAACTGTATCATTCTCGTTTACTGTGTACATTTACTTAGCCTTTGGGTCACTATATTCTTTCAATGAATTGGTTTTTTTTATTATAATATATAGAGCCCAGATGTTTAGGCTCCAAAACTCTTTAAGTCAGACAGTCAGACAGTCAGACAGGCAGACAGACAGACAGTCAGACAGGCAAGACAAACAGCCGAAATAAACAGTAATACGCAATGTAAAACCGAAAAAGACATTAGTTATTTTATGCAGTAAAATACATGATAGTTAACCAATCAATATGTTGCCAAAAAAATAGGTAATTCTGATTAATTTTCTCCATTAAAACTCCTCTGTATCAGTGAGAAAATGTGGGCCAAAAAATGTATTTACACTCGTCTACGTAATGTTTCCGTCACGTAGCCTCAGTACTGTCTACAACGAAAATTGAGCTGACCGAAAGATTTAGTACATAAGAAGGCAACCCTGTACTCTATCTTGGCCAGTGTTGTGACCAGCGGCAACTTCTAATACTTTTCTAATTTCTCAAATATTTGGTCCAATAATAATCGTACTGCCACATCTGTACACAACTCATTGTTACTAAACTCTAACTAATTTGTTAAGTTTTGAAGAAGTAAATACTTTAGGTACGTACTGTAAGTGAAAAGTATACGGTAGTGTTTGTTGTTTGAGAGATAATTGATGGACTCGAACAGTGTGGTAAGTTATGGAGGAGGGAGCGCTGTGCCGGGAAATATTCACACGTTCAAGTACCAGTCAAACACACACACACACACACGTCCAGTACCCGACACACACACACACACACACACATACACACACATACACACACGTCCAGTATACACACACACACACACACACACACACACGTCCAGTACCCGACTCACACACCCACACACACACACGTCCAGTACCCGTCAGAAAGATGCCGTAGGAAATGGTCGACTTTAACATGTAATCTGCTTAGTTTTCTCATACCAAATTATATAAAAAATCAATGGAAATAGACACAAGACAAAATAGGGAATCTTATATTGAAATCACACACACACACACACACACACACACACACACACACACACACACACACACACAGGGGGCTATGACACCACTAAGACACTTATGACACCACTGAGACACTTATGACACCACTAAGACACTTATGACACCACTAAGACAGACACTTAAGACATGACACCACTGAGACACTTATGACACCACTGAGACACTTATGACACCACTAAGACACTTATGACACCACTAAGACACTTATGACACCACTAAGACACTTATGACACCACTAAGACACTCCTGACACCACTAACACTGCTGACACCTCACTAGGCAGTGTCATGATACCGTATTTGTTACTTACAAGGGTTTCCGTAAAGTAATTCGACGACATCTTTGTTCCATCTGGTTCACCAACTGCACCGCGGTTCACCTCCTGTACCGCGATCCACCTACTGTACCACGATCCACCTCCTGTACCGCGATTCACCTCCTGTACCGCGATTCACCTCCCGTACCGCGATTCACCTCCTGTACCGCGATCCACTGAACACTAAAATACAGTGATAAGTTAGCGAAGCTCCGTTTGGTCTACTAGCATACTGACTCATTTCAGGTTCAGGGATTGAGTCCGTGAAGCCCTATTTGGTTCACTGAGGCACCTGATCACTGACTCACTTCACTGACTCACTGTGATCTCGAGCTTCAGATTTTGACTCGGCAAAACCTAGCACTCGATCACTGACTCACTGCGGTCCATTGCGACACCTGGCGACAAACTCACCTCGGTGTAGGAGAAGAGTGAGTTTTGTGCGTTGATAGTCTATACTGATAACACTTATCTCTTATCAGCCTTTCTCAACCGGGGTACCGCGAGAGAGAGAGAGAGAGAGAGAGAGAGAGAGGTTAGATTATGCTGGGTTAAATTAGATTAGTTTAGCCTGGCCCCACTAGCTCTGGGGACTATTAGAGCCGGATCTCATTAGAATTGGATACCATTAGAACTTGACCCTATTGAAACTGGACCCATTTTAACTGGACCCCATTAAAACTGGACCCCATTAAAACTGGACCCCATTAAAACTGGATCCCATTAAAATTAGACACCATTAAAACTGGACCCATTTATCCCAACACCACCCTTCATGGCCGTAACAAAACCCTAAATACTCAACACTAAAACAGAATTCGTGGAAGCAGCTGATACTACACTCTGCCCCTCCTTCTTCCTTATCGCCGTCAGGTATTGCTACGTAGGAGCAGTAGAGACAGACAGACAGACAGACAGACAGACAGACAGATAGATAGAGAACCAACAAACACACACACACACGCACACACACAGAGTTAATCAATCAAAAATTTCAAAAGCCAAAAACTATGTTCAGACGATCAGCACTTGAAAACACCAAGTAAAAGTCTACCTCTCTTATCAGACAGGAGGAAAAACTCTACTATCACCGTGTTATCAGAGTTAACTTGGGTGACCATTTATCAGTGCCGATAAAGTCTCAGTAACTGTTATGTATACTGCGTCAGGAGTCCTTGCCTTCTTCGGGTTGGGCGGTGAGGTAGTGTTGTATCTTCAGGAGTAAAATGATGGTGAGTACGATTTGGGTTGGTGTTGTGGGTGAGGAAGTGAACGGGAAGGTGACTTGTGTCTTAGCCAACATAGTGCATCACCATCATCACCATCATCACCATCATCATCATACTCAAGTGTTAGCTCCTGAATTGATAGGTTTGGTACCTTAGTTGTATCACCTTTATTTAACCATCATCTTCCTTTTATTTACTTGGGTCATATTGTATACTCGTATATAGTTCTCTTATATCTGTTCCCTTGTTATGGCCAGGAGTCATTTGTGGTTGATTCATTAAAAAAAAAAACAGTACCATTAGACTTAAGACGTAAATGACTGATCAATCAATATCATTTACTCGTCTGCTGATTCAGATTAGTTCAGATTATCAAGACATCACTTGAGTAAATTATCATAGCACCGAGAGATTATATCAAGATGAAGATCAATTTAAAAGTACTTATTATTAACTTAAAAAAACAATGACTTTTGAACTAACAAACCGTAACCCAAGAATGGTTATGAACTTAACATGTTAATCTAAGTAAATACAACAGTAAGCGAGACGGGGATACCTGCACAACACCCGACATAGAAAATAGGTTCAAAACTACACATCTAACACAAGGCCACATAGAAGTAAGACTCAACACTATTAGGGTGATACCAGACTCTAAATAATGACCCACAACACTGTACAATACTAAAGGTCTGTGGAGATCACGGCTGGGACTCATGACTGACACACAAACACTGGCTCGAGACCTCATTTGTTTGTGTTCCTCTGCTTCTTTAGTATGTGTAAGCTTACGGACCACAGCCTTGGGTTAAGTTAGGTTAGGATAGGTGTGGTTAGAATAGGATAGGACCCCACTTAACCTTAAAATTATTCTCATAACACAGGATCAGACTCCGCAGGAGGTTGACCTGGAGGCGGTGAAGGAGGCGCTACAGGGGGGCGTGCCGGTGGACGGGGTGGAGACTGAGCCGGGAGGGAGGACGCCCCTACACCAGGCTGCTATCACTGGGAACCTCCAGCTAGTCAGACTCTTGTGTGACCATAGGGCTGACCTCCACCTGACGAGCAACCAAGATGAAGGTAATTGTTGATGTTTTAATGTGTTACTACGCTTCAACAACTAAGGTCCTGAATCATAGTCCACGAAGTGAAGACCTAACCTAACTTAACCTAACCTTTTGTGACTAATCAAACGACCCTAACTGATAATAACTAGTCAAAGTTGCTATTTCAACTTCACTTTTGTTCAGTTTATTTACTATTCCAGTTTTATTTACAATTATATCTTCAATTTTAACTTGGAAATCTACTTTAATATTAATTTAAAAATGAATTTCAATTTCAGTTTTAGTTTAATTATAATTATTTCTTCAAATTCAGCGCCAGTGTTAATTATAATTTCATCTTCAATTTCCATAATTACAACCTCCACCCACTTCACCTCACACAGGGAGAACGGCGCTCCACCTGGCGGCTCGGGCTGGTCACCGTAACATAGTGGAGCTTCTGTTGGCCAGGGGGGCGCAGGTCAATGTACTGGATGACCATGGTAAGAGACATTATGTTTGGCCATCTTGCAATATTGTAGTTGTAGTGCATCTTGCAATGTTGTAGAAGTGCATCTTGCAATTTTGGCAATACGTATAGGGCAAACAGTACTACAAACCATCCCCTCATGCTGATCTATACAACCTATAACTTCAAGACTTGCAAGTAACTCATTCACGAAATCCAAATTGTCATATACGTAAATGATGAAACATTCACTCCTCTCTTCTTCTCATTCTTCTTCGGTGTGAAGTATTAGCCAGTCTCCCCAATCACAAGCCATATCATTATTCATACCTCACCCACCCACAATCCGTCTTTCGTTCCTACGTTTTTGACGCGAGAGATAAGTGTAGGAAAGGTATTAGAGATCATTTAGGTTTAGTTGAGTTTGGGGTAAAAATTATACAAGAAAATGGGATTAATGGCTCATGATTGTACAAGCTGGGATAGTACATGTTATATCGACTGAAGATTATTATGGTAGCGTTGTAACTCTGTGGAAGAGATTGAGAACGTCTTGTGCACAGGTCGGACCCCGCTACACCTGGCAGCAGAGGCCGGTCATACCAACATCGTGAAATCCCTCATTGAGTGTGAAGCTGATGTTAACCTCAAGGACAAAATAAGTAAGTTGCGTTGACCTTTGACCTTATCTTTAGGGTAACACAGCCTGTATATAACCTTTTATTGATCTTAAATGAATAAATGTTTAGTTCTGAATGCATTTTGACTTTAAAAAATCTTTATATGGTTCATAGATTGTCATGATAGTAATTTTGGCTTCTACACACACAAACACACACACACACACACACACACACACACACACACACACACACTACTTTTAAAAACAAATGGGTAAGGAGAAAAATGTTTTTGATAATAGATCCGTGTAACCCTTCTATGACCACTTGGCATCAGAGAATAAAAAATGAATAAATATTTTTCGGAACTTACTGTAGATAAACTTACTATTGATATATTACCTTGGAAGAACAATTCTATGTGTTATGGGGAGCCAGAACACAGTGGGAGAGAGAGAGATAACGTTTGATAAGACAGTTGACTCTTGTATCTTATCTTTATGATATATAATGAACATTCTTCATTGCCGTCGTCTCATTCGATAAAGTTTCCTTTTTCCATCATATTATCTCTCAGTTGTCCTATGTGTATGGTGTATAAAACATCTATAGCTTTATCTATTTCATTTAGTCCAAGCAAAACTGTATTTAAACCCCTGACTAAAGTAAAGTTTGTAATTGTGTAAATAATTAATCTGACATTATTTGCTATATGGGAACCAGTGGTTGAACTCACTATCAGTAATATTTTCTTTTATTACGAGGCTGATCGTTAACAACATGATCGCGGCGTACCCAAGGTCAACTTTTGGGTCCCTCTGGCTATAATAAAAATTTTTTTTCTGTATATATTTAACGTCCCTATCAATTATATTCTGAAGGTTGGATTATGTTTTATCTAGTTTAGTTTTTGTAAATATGAATATATTAAAGATAAGGAAATGTACATAACTTCTCGGTCTGATACAACAAATCTGCAAGGCTCTGAGCAACCAGACAAGAACTAGTCTGTGTCGACATGTGAGAGGACACACACACACACACACACACACACACACACTTCTATAAACGCCCTCTCTCTCTTTGTCGGCTATACTAGGTCAAATTTACTATTTGCCAATGTTTGTTTAATTGCATTATGTATCTACTGCAGTGTACATTCTACGTCACTGTAAATTTGTATTATAATTTTACTGAATATATCTATCACACTATGGCACAGGTCAGACCGTGGGTCACTACGCAGCAAGAGGCGGTCACGGGAACATCATAGACATACTCCAGGACCATGGCTGCTGCCTCACCACCCTTGATCAAGACGAGGCCTCCCTACTCCACCTTGCTGCTGAGAGTGGTCACCTGGACACTGTTTACAGGCTGGTTAAGGTCGGACTCTCTCCTGGTGCCGTGGACATCACTGGTTGCACTCCGGAAGACAGGGCACAGCGCAGGGGGTGGACCAACGTGGTGGCTTTCCTTCAAGACCCACATGACGATAATCCTGTCTTGGTAGGTACTTAGTGGAGGGCAAATCGAGAGAACCAACTCGTGACCCTAAGCTTTTGTATATTTTTGCATAGGTGAGTGTTGGCTTGACACATTGGCTGACCACCGATTAATTGCCTGGTTTGTGTATTGGATTCAGTGACGTTACCGGTTAGGAATTTCGAGGCCGCCAGTCTGTGTGGCTCAGAAGTGGCTTGGACTGTACATCAAGCGAGGAGCGGCATTCATAAATATGGTTTAACAGCATCAACAGTCAAACGAGTGTTTGGTAGCATTAACAGTCAAACGAGTGTTTGGTAGCATCAACAGTCAAGCGAGTGATTGGTAGCATCAACAGTCAAGCGAGTGTTTGGTAGCATCAACAGTCAAGCGAGTGTTTGGTAGCATCAACAGTCAAGCGAGTGTTTGGTAGCATCAACAGTCAAACGAGTGTTTGGTAGCATTAACAGTCAAACGAGTGTTTGGTAGCATCAACAGTCAAGCGAGTGATTGGTAGCATCAACAGTCAAGCGAGTGTTTGGTAGCATCAACAGTCAAGCGAGTGTTTGGTAGCATCAACAGTCAAGCGAGTGTTTGGTAGTGTCAACAGCCAAGCGAGTGTTTGGTAGTGTCAACAGCCAAGCGAGTGTTTGGTAGCGTCAACAGCCAAGCGAGTGTTTGGTAGCGTCAACAGTCAAGCGAGTGTTTGGTAGCGTCAACAGTCAAGCGAGTGTTTGGTAGCGTCAACAGTCAAGCGAGTGTTTGGTAGCGTCAACAGTCAAGCGAGTGTTTGGTAGCATCAACAGTCAAGCGAGTGTTTGGTAGCATCAACAGTCAAGCGAGTGTTTGGTAGCATCAACAGTCAAGCGAGTGATTGGTAGCATCAACAGTCAAGCGAGTGATTGGTAGCATCAACAGTCAAGCGAGTGTTTGGTAGCATCAACAGTCAAGCGAGTGATTGGTAGCATCAACAGTCAAGCGAGTGTTTGGTAGCATCAACAGTCAAGCAAGTGTTTGGTAGCATCAACAGTCAAGCGAGTGTTTGGTAGCATCAACAGTCAAGCGAGTGTTTGGTAGCATCAACAGTCAAGTGAGTATTTGTTTATAATTTACAGTGACGGTCGCCTCCTCTAGACACACACACACGTTTGAACATTAACTTGCGAGAGATTCTCATTATAGTTGTAGTGGATGCAATCCTAGACAAGGTTCTTGAAACTCCAGAGCACGAGCAGTAGGTATATTCAATAAGTGTACAAGACTTGGCGTGATAGCCGACCGATACAGAAGCGGGCACAAGGGACCCCGGACCGTAGGTAGGCCGAGGCTGATCTGAGGGATGTTGTCTAGCTGGGCAAGGAGAGTTGCTAGACATCACTAGGACAATAACTGAGGTCCTCTAGTTACTCGACTAGCGCGGTACAGACATAGTATATCGGGGCCTAGTGAGTGAACATAGGCATTAGACATAAGCATAGATATCAGACATGGTATGATGATATGTAGTAATACAGACATGTGAATAAATGGTACAATGAATGGTAACAGAGTCTTGGCGTCAGGCGTGTTCACATATCTATACAATAGTGAACTGACTGACTGAGGACTTCACTGTCTTCATCAACAGATCATTAACTCATCACTAAACCGGTCAGGTAATAATCTCTTCTTGTCTTGGTTTATGTATCAATATGACCTAACAATTCCTGATGATTGTGTCACTTGTGTTTAGAGAGTAGTGTTGATTTGTTGTGTAATAGCCGCCTGTCCTTCTCTCATAGACAACTGTATGTACCTGCATGGTGATGCTTCCTTTACAGCTTTATGTAAAGTGAAATCTAAATCAGAAATTATCGACTTGCTTATAGATCATCAAATTCAACCAGTCTAAATGGCTCTAAATGACTGTTTATCAACATCCTCCCATCAACAATGTAGTAACAAGATTGACGATCAACCTACAACTGATATACAAAAGTGACAATTTCAACTCCGAAATAATAAGTGTAGGACAGTGATAAGTTATGTGCCCGGCGGTCAGTGGTCACATCTCACATCTCTCACCACCTCACACACCAGATGACAGGACTCGCAGCCACATCAGGAGAGATATAAGGCCTCCCAGCTCCACCAGCCAACAACTGAGTACTCCCTTACTCCCCCAGATGAGAAATGAAAATCCCTAACTACATCAAATGAGGAACAAGATCTCTCTCCATTACCCCGAACTGAGAGACCTACCAGGAGTACCTGATGGGTGTGTGAAGCGAGTGCAGGCTTTCACAACCTAGATGGAGGGAACGGTCAGGACTGTTCTTAGCAGGGGAGGAATTTGTTGGCGTGGTCTATGAAGTCACAGGGCAGTTTATGGGACAGGTTTCCCCACTACCTGATCTGTAGTTAATTTGTATGTTTACTCCATGTTTTATATCATTTTATACTGAGAGCTTTTGTCTATCAAGTGACCCACTCCCAAATTTCTCTATATATAACTTTTATCATCTCTGTTTATTGTATATTTTTAGCCTTTTGGCCGCCATGTTCGTTTTATAAACCCTTAATTATTGTTTTTGTCCTGTGGCAAGATCTTTATACTGTACACTAAATGTTAATATTTGCTCAAGGGTATTTTACCTCGAAGAAAAACAAATATTATTATTATTATTATTATTATTATTATTATTATTATTATTATTATTATTCTGCAGGAGGAACTAACACGCGTAAATACTGAAGATGAGACTGTTTGTCAGCGAGAACTTGTGACTCCAGAACCCTCAACACCTGCTGACATCGATGGTGGTGGTAGTCACACGAGTCTAAATTCTACTGCTGGTGTAAGGTCGGGTCAATTAGATCCCCAATACCCACTTCAAGTAACAATTGGTGATGGAGAAGGACTTAGTGTGAGGCCTGTAAGATTTGCACTACCTGTTGAAGGTCAGCCCAGGCGTGCGCCTTTTGTTGGGGGTGTCTTTGTATACCCTGTTGATGTGGTGAAGGCGTCAAGACCCCCAGTGTTTGTTGATGCTATGGGACAGTCAGAGCCCTCACCCCCTACCTGTGACGGGGGGCATCCAGAACCTTCATCCCCTACCTGTGACGGGGGGCATCCAGAACCTTCACCCCCTACCTGTGACGGGGGGCATCCAGAACCTTCACCCCCTACCTGTGACGGGGTGCATACAGAACCTTCATCCCCACTGTGAAGGGGGAACCTTCATCCCTACCTGTGAGGGGGCATCCAGAACCTTCATCCCCCACCTGTGACGGGGCATCCAGAACCTTCATCCCCTACCTGTGACGGGTGGCATCCAGAACCTTCATCCCCTACCTGTGACGGGTGGCATCCAGAACCTTCATCCCCTACCTGTGACGGGTGGCATCCAGAACCTTCATCCCCTACCTGTGACGGGTGGCATCCAGAACCTTCATCCCCTACCTGTGACGGGGGGCATCCAGAACCTTCATCCCCTACCTGTGACGGGGGGCAACCAGAACCTTCATCCCCTACCTATGACGGGGGGCATCCAGAACCTTCATCCCCTACCTGTAACGGGGTGCATGCAGAACCTTCAGTTCCCACATGTGGTGTAAGCCAAGGCACCAACCTATACCCGATACTAACTGACGAGGTGTGGGGTCTGGATTGTGCAGCATTAGTGAACGAAGGAGACCAAGTCACCTCCCCCTGTGACCCACAACGCTCCAGGGAGGCCGAGCAAGCCGAATGTTTGCCAGACAACGACATTAACAACAAGGTAACTCCATCTTGTCTTACCATAGGGAATACTGTTTATTTTAGATCACGTGAAGGTAAAGAACCCCAGTTTATTTCGTGTTGTAATTTAATCCTAATGCTAATCTAACGGTAGCCTAACTTAATGCTAACCTAATATTACCTTACCAAACTTAACCTAATGCTATCTGTGGGTTAGATTAGGTTACGTTAGATTATGTTAAGTTAGGTCAGGTTAGACTCCGTTGAAAAAACTATTGGTAATTTAAGCAACACATTCAACTCCTTTGGTTAAGAACGTGTTCAGTGAGTGAGTAAAGAGCGTGGCATCATCTAAACTCCTCCTCCTGCCACTCCTTGACAGCTACTGGTGGCGGCGGCGGAGGGCAAGACTCGTGAGGTGAAGGCGCTGGTGAAGCAGGGAGCTAACCTGGAGGCGAGGAGCACCAACCCAGGCGAGGAGGGTGAGGCACCTTGAGAGAGCCACCACACTGACACTCACTCCTGTGTTAACTTTAGCAACTGTGTTAACTCCTATGTTGTCTTTAATCACAGTAATATAAAATGAGTATAATTTTCACTTGAAAGTCTCGGTAAAGGGGGAGAGCCATAGGAGTAAGGTACCGATACTAGGGTCGTGGTAGTAAGGGTCGTGGTAGTAAGGGTCGCGGTAGTAAGGGTCGCGGTAGTAAGGGTCGCGGTAGTAAGGGTCGTGGTAGTAAGGGTCGTGGTAGTAAGGGTCGTGGTAGTAAGGGTCGTGGTAGTAAGGGTCGTGGTAAGTATTAGGGTCGTGGTAGTAAGGGTCGTGGTATCGGGTCGTGGTAGGTCGTGGTAGTAAGGGTCGTGGTAGTAAGGGTCGTGGTAGTAAGGGTCGTGGGGTCGTGGTAGTAGGGGTAGTACGGGTAGTGGTAGTAAGTCGTGTAGTAGTACGGGTCGTGGTAGTAGGGTCGTGGTAGTAAGGGTCGTAGGGTGAGTGGAATAGTAAGGTCGTAGTACGTGTCGTGTAGGTCGTGGATGAGTCGCGGTGGTAAGGGTCGTGGTAGTAAGTCGTGGTAGTAAGGGTCGTGGTAATGGGTCGTGGTAGTTAGGGTCGCGGTAGTAAGGGTCGCGGTGTAAGGTCGTGGTAGTAAGGGTAGTAAGTAGGGTCGTATAGAGTCGCGATGGTAGAGTCGCAGTAATAACGGTGGTGGTAGTAAGTAGTAAGAGTCGTAAGTAGTAAGGTAGGGGTCGTGGTGTAAGGGTCGTGGTAGTAAGGGTCGTGTAGTAAGGGTCGTGGTAGTAAGGGTCGTGGTATTAGTAGGGTCGTGAAGTAGGTAATGGGTCGCGTGGTAAGGGTCGTGGTAGTAAGGGTCGTGGTAGTAAGGGTCGTGGTAAGGTAAGGTCGTAGTAGTTAGGGTCGGTAGTAAGTCAGATAGTAAGTCGTAGTAGAGGTCGTGGTAGTAAGGTGGTAGTAAATCGCGGTGGTAGTAGTGTCGTAGTAGTAAGTAGTCGTGGTAGTCGTGGTAGTAAGGGTCGTGGTATTAAGGGTCGTAGTAGGGTCGTGGTACTCGTGGTAGTAGGGTCGTAGTAGGGGTCGTGGTAGTAAGGGTCGTGGTAAGGGTCGTGGTAATGAGGTCGTGGTAGTAGTAGGGTCGTGGTAGTAAGGGTGGTGGTAGTTAGGGTCGTGGTATATAGGGGTCGTGGTAGTGGGGTCAATTATTAGGTTTCGTGGTCTGGTAGTAAGGGTCCTAAGTAAGGGTCGTAGTGGTAGGGTCGTGGTAGTAAGAGGGTAGTAGTCGTGTAGTAAGGGTCGTGGTAGGGGTCGGGTAGTAGGTCATGGTAGTAAGGGTCGTGTAAGTAAGGGTCGTGGTAGTAAGGGTCGTAGTAGTAAGGGTCGTGGTATTAGTAGGGTAGTAGTTAGGGTCACTTTAGTAAGGATCGTGGTAGTAAGGGTCGTGGTAGTAAGGGTCATAGTAAGGTCGTAGTAAGGGTCAGTAGGGGTCATAGTAGGTCGTGGTACCGTGGTAGTAAGGGTTCGTGGTAGTAAGGGTCGTGGTAGTAAGGGTCGTGGTAGTTACAGAATATATTACAATGATCAACATAACAGGTGTTGACAGGTCTGACGCCGCTACACCTGGCGTGTTGGGGAGGACACAAAGACGCTGCCGTGAAGCTGATCAACCTGGGGGCCAACCCACAAGCTCTGGCCGGAGGTGAGAGAGAGAGAGAGAGAGAGAGAGAGAGAGAGAGAGAGAGAGAGAGAGAGTTGTCTTGTATTCACCCTTTGTTTCTTCTCTCTGTTAAAATATACATTGTGCAACATTCATCACTTCCTACCTTGTGTATTGGTGCATCATTATGGTACAGGGCGTCAGGCGGTACAGTAATACATCAATGGTACGTCATCAAGGTACATTATCCCGGTACAGGGCGTCTGGCGGTACACTGGGCAGCCTATGGAGGTCACGTGGATGTGTTGAAGGCGCTGAGTGACCTAGGCTGTGACCTGGACGTGATCTCAGCCGACAAGTCCACGGCTCTCCACCTGGCGGCCGACAACGGTAACTTTGAGGCGGTTCAGTGGCTGGTTGAGCACGGTGTGAGTGTCCACACCCTGAATGGTGACACGAGGACCGCATTGGACCTGGCCAAGGCGTCCAGGTTTAAGGCTGTCTCACTTTACCTGAAGCGTAAAGGAAAGGAGGTATTGTATGTGTGGGTTAATATTGTTATTGGTATTTTTGTTATTATTGTTATTATTATCATATACAAGGTTAGCCTCGTCAGAACAGCACAACTCTCCCCCACAGGAGCTGCTAGTGCGGTCTGTGTCACTGAGAATGATCATCTCCGTCAAGAAACTTCTGGAGGAGGGAATAAATGTGAACGCCTCCTCCTACAAGAAGGGTCAGGAAGGTATGTATCCCACCAGAGAGAGAGAGAGAGAGAGGTTGTTGTGGTTGTGAGGTGTCTTTATGAGTACTGGAGGTGGTGCAAGAACCAAGATGTTATGTAGTGGTGTTGTTAGCGTTTCTTGTTCGTATTAGTAGTAGAGACTTAAGGCACAATGGAATTTCTGAGATGTCGGGAGTAGGTTAATGAGTTTTTAAGAATGATAATGAGAGTGGTGTGTGTTTGGTAGGAGGGGGAAGGGGTGTTATTATTTATGCCTGGGTCAGTGAATATCCTTGGGGGGGGGGGGGGTCTGTGGAGGATACATTTGGGACTGAAGTTAAGCCTCCTAGTTCGATGTTGAAGCCGAAGCCATTGGAATGTCATAAAGCCAAAGCCGATGCCAGTCATTTAGAAAGTCATGAAGCCGAAGCCAATGTCAAGGCTTTCCAAGGTTACACGAATATTTGATGGGGAAACATATGGCATTAAAGTTGCAGCAAGACCAGTGGATGATGGGAGGTATACACCCCCCCCCCCCTTACAATTTATGTAATCCTGAAGAAAAAAATTGAAAACCTCCCAAAT